AGGCAGGATTCATACAGCATCACTGCCTGGAGGAGGGTTCTAAGAAGCGTCCTCGGCATTTCTTTGCACTCCAGAGTAGCCAGTATCAGCAATGTCCTACTTGGTGGCTTCATCAGCATCCTCAAGCTCGATCCCCATGTACTTGTCCGGTACATCAGGTATGGGATCTTCTTCACTCAGGCCCCTGGCAAGGATAGAAGGTACGTCGCCTGGGAATGAAACAATGTTTGCAGGAGAACTCATTTTCGGCAAGGCACCAGTCAGAGCTTCCCACAGGGGCAGTTGCTCGAGGTTCAACTTTGTTAGGACCTTCACCATCGCCTTGTGCATGGTCTTCTTTGGGTCCTTTATCAGGAGCTGCTTAAACCACTTTGCTTTAATTGGCCTGTCCTGATCGAGCCTCCTCAAACCTGCAACGCCTACCCGGTGCGCCCCGCACTTCCTGGCAACCAAATTCATCTCCTCGAGGGATGCAACCATCCCTCCTGTAGACAGCATCTTGTACATGAACGGAGCACACCACTGGTGTAGTTCCTCCTTTGAGATGTGCAAACTAGCAAAAGATTTCATCTTCTCGTCCAGCACGTCATACTTGGCTTGTACCAAGGCAATCTCAGCTTCCTTCTCTTGGACCTGACGTGCCTTTTCCTCGAGGGTCAACACCTTGAATAGAGCTTCATCCCTTTCAGATCGACCTGTGACTAGGTCTTCTCAAAGTTTCCTCAGCTGCACCAGGTAGGCCATCGAGGCCGCGCTTATCTACACCAACAAAACACATTAGAAACACACTAAGGTGGTACTGGTTTGTGGTAAACATTCATAACTTCGAAAACTCCCTTACCAGTCTCAGACAGTCAGCCTCATTCAGCTGAGCAGCGAATTCTTCGAGGAGGGGACACTCGATGGTCGGTGGGTTGCTGAAGGTGTGCACAGCCACGGACGGGCCTCCCTCGAACAGTTGAGGAAGCAAGGTTATTGCCTCTCCTTCGAGGAGGCCTTTGCCTTTTTCTGTTGCAGGGGGAACGACACTTGGCCCTGCTTCTGGTAGAGGATTTTGAACAGTCTCAGTAGCAGGGGGCACCATCTTGTTACCCAGTGCTATGGTTTCTTTCGAGGGCGCATCCGTTTTAGCCTTCTTAGATTTCGCCCTATCACCGACCTTCACGATTCTCTTCTTCTTCTTTTTTTGAGGCGCTGCAGTGATGGTAGCGTCCTCATCTGAATTCACAATAGTAAAAGGATCTTCGTCACCAAACAATCGAGAACTAGCGTTGCTTGACGACATGACCTAAAAACAGACAAGGAAAAATCAAATGATTAGTACCTTGGTTTTCTCCAACAGAGGTTTCGAGAAGGATTCTGGTTGAGGTCTCGGCATTAGCATTATCATCCTCTCGGTGTACACAGGAGGTACGTAATATTGTACGTCGTTCCATTTAACGACCTTAGAATATTTCACAATTTTCTCCACATCTGCATTAAGCTTCTCGATGCACTTTTCGTCTTTTTGGGTCCACTCATCCTTTATGGCTCCAAGACCCTCTGTTTCTTGATGATTCCACGACAGGAAATAGCTCTCGGATGCAAACAAGAAATCCGGCTTCCATGCAGGAGAGCCGCCATATGCCTCGACCATCTTTTTAACTCCAGATCTAAGGCGCCTCTTCACAATATACCAGTCTTGGAAAGAGGTCGAGGCTACAACTACTTGGAAGAAATACCTCCACAGTATCAACCGAGGTTTTACTTTTACATGCTGGCATACTCTTGCAAATCCCAGCACAAAAGTTATTAAATTTGGGGTGAAACGAGCAAGGGAGTCCTATAGTGTTGCACAATCTCCTCGAACAGAGGGAAGAGGGGGAATCTAAGCCCTAGATGCATAAATCAGTCATACACAGTAATTCTTTCCTCAGGAGGAGAGTTGGCCCTCTCGTTTCCTAACGGGACTCTCGCCTCTAGATATAAAGGAAGGTCATACTTTGATCTAAGGTTCTCTACCTTATCGACAGAATCTATGGTGGATGCGAAGTTATCAACAGTTTTTCATTCCGAATTCCTAACCATGATTCCGGTACAAATCTACACTGGCTACAGTTGGAAAAGACAAAAACTTCGAATGAAACCGGGGGTAGTCAGATCTAAAAACTTACTGTTGGAAGAGGATGTGACCACTCGCCTTTTGAGTTGTAACTTACCAGTGTTCTTCCTGAATCCTGATAGCAAATCCCCTGTTGATAACGTCACTGGGACAGTATGTAGGTCAAGGCTTGAATATTCCGGCGAAGGCAGTTGAAACACTCTGACGAAGAGGAGAATTTTAGTTTTTGCGAAGAAGGAAAAGTGATACGTGAAAGGGGAATGATAGAGGCTTCTCCTTAAAAATAAAAATTATTCTCCCATGTCTCCCTAATTACAGCCCACAATATGAAAGTTAATGCAAATTTCAAGGGAGTAATGATGGTGAAGTCGCCGTTTGGGGAACGTGCCCACTTATGACGCGCGATTGAAATTTTGGACGGGACAAGGAAACGGGTCACCTTCCCCGGTCAAGACCTACCCCGCTGGTTACCCTCGGGCTTCCAAGATCGAGAGTTGTGCGTTTGATTCGAGGCTACTTGACGCATTGCTCGACAACTAGCTGAATGAGAGTAGCCTAACCACTCTTGGGTTTGTCCCAAGTAACTTTGTGCCAAGCGTTGTTTATCTTATATAACTAACACTTGACAGGGGCACTTGACAAGTCCATATCCATCACCGAGACTGGACCGGCCCATCAACCGAAAGGAGAGTCCAACCGGGACACTTGAGGTGGTTTAGGTTCCCGAAACCTAATAGGACTCAGGGATTTCCCAGGTATTCTCGTACCTATAAATAGGGTTGCTCATGCCACAATACAGGTACGCAATTTATAGCTTAACATACTACATACCTAAACCTTCCAGCAACCCTTTATTGACTTAAGCATTGGAGTGTCTACCCTCGGGAGACCCCGAGGCCCTGTTTTGCAGGAAACCCTAGCCGGAGTTCCACCGTTAGACCGACGGCGCGAAACCAAGCATCGTCAGGTAAAATTTTCAGGATGGAAGGCTATCTCTTACGGGCAGAATCACGTTAGCCTAGTCTTGATTACAGTCTCTACCAACCTTCTAATGCAATCGGCCAGCACACATATGTGATGAACTAGACAAGCTGGTAAGAGGATTTGTATGGGGTCCACAAAGGATAAACGAAAGATGCACCTGGTGAATTGGAATCAGGGGTGTAAGAAAAAAGAAAATGGTGGCTTAGGACTACAAAAGGCGAGAGAAAACAACCTTGTGTTGTTGATGAAAATAGGATGGGAATTGATATCAAAGAAGGAGGATCTATGGGGTGAGAGTTCTCAGAGGAAACTATGGTGGTAAACATCAAGGGAATAATGTTACGTGCATAAGAAAGCCACAATCTACCCTCAGTTGGAAAGGAATCTGTGATGCCTCTCCTTTGGTTGAAAAAGGAAACACTTGGGTGATAAGAAATGGCCAGCAAATCACGTTTTGGGAGGATAGATGGATTGAAGGAGTATCAAAGCTTGCTGAATACTCGTATTGCCCCATAAGTCAAGAAGAGAAAAACATAAAGTTGGGGGATTTTGTTCATCCTGATGGTTCATGGGACACGACTAAATTCAGAAACAAACTTCCGCCAGAGTTGGTTCAAAATATCAGCAGTATACCTCCTCCTCTTGAAGACCTAGGCCCGGATCGACCTAGGTGGTTGTTCAACAAAAGCGGTAAGTTCTCGATTAAATCTACTTATTCAATGGCTAATGAATCTGCCGATGATCTTGTTGACAAGAGCTGGAAGGAGGTGTGGGCTGGAGAGGATCCCAAAGAGTCAAATAGTTTCTCTGGCTGGCGTCACATGGCAAACTTGCAACAAATGGACTGAGACATCAAAGGGGAGTAACAAGAGAAAACAGTAGCAGCAGTTGCAATGGAGAGGTGGAAACAACAACACACGCCATCAGAGACTGTATTAAAGTACAGAGAATTTGGAATTTAATCATTTCAGCTCAAAGAAGGCAGGAATTTTTTAAGCAACCTCTAAAGGAATGGATAAAATCTAACTTAACAGTTAATGATCCAAGGTGGACAAGAATGTTTAGAGTAGCTGCTTGGTTCATTTGGAAATGGAGAAATGACCGAATTCTTAATAACAATGAGCTGAGTCTAGACACAGCAATCAAATTGATTACACAAAGAGTGCAAGAGATAGACACAAGCCAGGAGCTTCTGAAGTGGCAAAAGAATCCCACTCTTGACAGGACTGTGACAGGCTGGAGACCCCCTCCTGCTGGATGGATAAAAATCAATTGTGATGGAGTTGTCTATCAAGCAAACAATAAAGCGGCAACGGAAGGTGTGGCAAGAGATAATAAAGGAAGATTTCTGAAAGCTTTTCAAAGTTTCATTGGTCCTTGCTCTGTTGAGACAGCAGAGTTCACAGCCATCTTACAAGGATTGGAACTGGCAAAGCAACAACGATTCCCTAGAATCATTGTGGAATCGGATCCGGAGTTAAGAAAGATCCAATATATTTTGAGCTCGAATTGGAGCGTGCAATTTGTTCGAACAGGCAGAAAGAACAACCTTTGTGCCGACGTATTGGCCGAGGAAGCTCTTAGTCTTCATAGGGGAATATATTTTTTTGATGTAACTCCTAGTAGTATTAATGTAATCGTAGACAAAGAAGCTACTCATATGTAATCGTAGACAAAGAAGCTACTCATATGAGCTGTAGGAACTAAGGCTATGCCGAAGTTTTATGTTTTTTAACCAAAAAAAAAAAAAAGTATGAAACACTATGGTAATGAATTTTCTAAAACTTAGGGGTCATTATTGAAATGTTAAGCGGAAACTGTGGCAACAAAGCTTACAGCCTCTTAGTATCATTTGGCTTCAGTAAAAATTGCACAATCAGAAAAAAAAAATAACAATGTGAATTGTGATGCACACTCATTCATGAGCAACAACAACCACCTGCTTCCCAACATTCTTGCCGGAGAAAAGACCGATTAATGCAGCTGGAGCTTTATCAAGGCCTTCAACTATGTCTTCCACATACGTAATTTTGCCTTCTTTAATTTGAGGGAGAACCATTTCAAGGAATTTCGGATAGAGGTGATAGTAATCTAACACTAGAAATCCTTCCATTCGCACACGTTTTGTGATGAGGCAGAACAGATTTTTAACACCCTCGTGCTGTTCAAGGTTGTACTGTGATATTAAACCACATACAGCAATCCGACCATGAACTCTCATGTTAAGAAGTACTGCGTCTAGCATCTTTCCTCCTACATTCTCAAAGTAAATGTCGATTCCATCTGGGAAGTACCTGCAGGAAACAAACTGATGTAAAGAGTGCCATGCCAAGGGGTTTTGGGAAAACTGGCAATGAGAAAGGTATAAACTGTTCTTGTCTTCACAATGCTCTGACAAAGTTGTCCACAATGTTCAGATATGATGCATGATAATATTTTTTATCTGCAACACTGCAAAGATGTATATTTTCAGAACTTACCTTTTCAAAGCTGCAACAAGATCTGGTTCTTCCTTGTAGTTGAAAGCTTCATCAAAACCAAATTTATTCTTCAGCAAGTCAACCTTAAATGCACAACCACAAAACACGATGAAAAGGTCCAAGATAAGTCAGAATAATCTAATAGTTCTTGTTTATACAGAATATAGTAATGTTATCACAGATCTAGGTCATTCTGGGAGCTAAAATTCAGACTAATTTCACAGAATCAGAATAAAGTGAAAACCATGTAAGATCCTCAAGAAATCAGAAAAGCCCCACCAATAAGGGAATATTTTTTCGTCTAGCAGTTGAAGATTAGTTTCTTTGCTAAGCTAATAGCATTTCATAACCCTGTTTCGTTTGAAGTAGGACCAAGTCGTTGCGAACTAATATTTCACCATTCTCAGTGGGAAACATGATAGTCTAATATAATAAAAGATCTTGACACAATCATCAAGGTTATATGAATTCATTGACAAAAGAAAAAAAAAAAAAAGAGATTTTCTGGAATGTTCAGAAACCATCCAAATGAAGTAAAATGCACCATGAGCTTAAAGTGCTCCTCTCTTTGCTTAAATGTAAATATTGGCAAGTGCTGTCAGGAAAATAACCTTTTCTTTGGTTCCAGCACTTCCAACCACATAACAACCAAGCAGCTTTGCAAACTGTCCTACAAGCTGGCCTACAGCTCCAGAAGCAGCTGAAATATATACACGCTCTCCCTTCTTTGGAGAGCAAAGCTCATAAAAGCCAGCATAAGCAGTCATGCCAGGCATACCTGAAAGCAATTCAACAGATAAAAGAGCGCAAAGAAGATAAGGATCGGGACTAGGAGATTATTACAAAACCTTCAAGCTATCAGGATTATTTTATACAGCTGTTTCAAAAAGTAAATAATGAACAGCCACTTACAAGATATCTAACAGAAAACAGGACAAGATTTTAGATTTCATTAATTTAAGTAATAGCTTCATGGAAGAACTCATTCTATCACAAAGCAAGTAACAGACTTGAGTACTACATTCTTTGCATTTCCATATTGAAAACACGGCTGCTTTAATATATTCGGTGTCTGCTCTTTACCAATTATGAATTTCAGGAGAACACGAAAACTAGCAGCGCATAATATGCAGAACCAAAAAAAAAACAAATAAAAATTGGAGGTGCTTCATGAAACTTCTTTTAATCTTTTCTGTTTTGGCCATTTTGATACCAAGAATATGGAAGAGTGACATTTTGATAATTTGGAGACCCTAAGATCTGAATCATGATCATGGAGAAGTACAGTAAGATGTCTCGATGTCAAGACACCCAATGCAGACCTTTTTAATTCAGATTTTGCTTCTTTACTGCAAAAGGACGAGCTTAATAAGAAGAAAAGAGAATTTTCCTTTTTATGCTCATTTCTAACTCCTGAAAAAACATTATCCTAGCATGAAGACACCTACCAAGAATTCCTGTATAGTAAGAAAGAGGGACATCTGTAGGTTCAATTCTGAAGCAAGTGTCTGGAGCAGTAATCAGGCTGTATTCTTCCCATCCAGTTAGTCCCCACAGAAGATCTCCTTGTTTAAACTTTGGATGACAAGAATCCAAAACTCTAGCCACTCCAAGTCCTGTCACAGGCTATAAGGAAAGTGATGCCATGAATCTTTGAATATGGGTAGTACCATGAATATAGAAGTCGCTGCAGTACTCTTATCAGATAAGCTGAGTATGTCAGGGAGTGTAATAGCAAATATAACCAGAAGATCTATTTAATTTTGAAATCTTTCGATGATCAATTTAAGTAGCCAAGTTACTAATATCATCAAGGATAAGGCAAAACATGAGTTAATCTGTATCAGTTTCCGCAGAACACAAAATCTGACAGTCCTATAGAAAAAGGATCCATATTTTCAGTGCTGACGTTTTTGAAGTACAATACAAGAACCTTTAATAACAAAAACTAGTAGTCCCTGCACAAATGAGCAGTTCAAAAGCATCACCACCTTGGTTGGGGGAATATTTGACATTAATGCTACTTTCACCTGACCAATCATCTATTTCTAACTTACTGCAATCCACTCAAAACACCTTATCACCCCGCTTAGCCCAAAAGTTCCTTAAATCATTTTGTATTTTCATCTTCATGGTTAGGTCCAAAACAAAATTCTCATTCACTAGCTACGGAGAGGCAACAAACACAGCTATAACACCCAGTCCAAAATTCAATATTGTATCAGAACTCGGAATTTCTCTACATTTTTCTTTTTTGGTGGTCAAATTCCTCAAGATTTGACTGTCAAAAAGATCTAATCTTTAATGTCCCAACTACTACTTGGTAAAAAAATAGTCCATAATGCTAAATACTCCATGCGTCCCAATCAAAAATAGTCTGCTTTGTTGAACTGTAACCAAAAAAAAAAAAAAAAAAAAAATCGAACTGGATAACATGCTTAAACTTAATCATCATAAAAAATAAAACCAAATACAAGTAGTACTGCCGATACGATTCCATGAAAGAATTCCAAGAACAAACCATCATAAAACAAAACACCATGCAACCAAGTTTGAGAAAAAGGAAAGGTAATTGCACTGCAAATCTCACACATTTCTCTGTCACTAAATCTGCTACCTTATAAAGAAATTACTTATAACTGAATACAAGAAATTAAAATCGAACAACTTAGGGAAGAGAAACAGAACTTACAGAGCCAGGAGTGAGGGACTCAGTGTAATGCCCTTCAATCTTGCTCATGCGGGACCTCATGTAAGGATCACAGGACAAGAAAAGGTTTTTCACCAAAATAGCCCCTGAAGAACAATCCTCCGGGAGCTTCAATTGAATTCTGGTTGTCTTCAATTCCATATCACTTTCTTTTGGGAACCCTGTAACATAATTCTTGAAAATCACTTGCTTGTTTTCCACTTCCTCCCCCATTTGATGATTTGATCCTCTGTTTCTTCTCCCTTCCCCTTCACCAGCTCTGTATCTTTGAGGGATTCGATTAATTTTCTTTATTTTTCACTCTGTTTTGCGAATTAAATTGTGGGTTCAAGAGATGTATATTTATGATGGAGATTTGGAGAAAATGCCAACAGCTTGAGTGGTGCTTTGAACTATCCGTCTGAATTAAAATTCATTAGGCTGTTTGTAAACCGAAGATACAAAATCACCTGTTAGTGGGTGTTTCTTATGAATTATAAAAGGAAAAGAATTGTAAACAAGATTACTTATTGTTATCTTTTTTTTTGGAACAAGATTGCATTTTTTATTTTTTCATATGTTTGGTGAGTCACACATTGTTGATGTTTGATAACATTTTGAATAAAAATTGCATCTTTAATGTTGGATCCTCCCTTTTTTTTTTGGTAAAGGACAAACTTTAGAATCCCACCATAAAAAATGAATCTTTTTTTTCCTCTAAAGAAAATGGTTATGCCAAAAACACTCTAAAAAATGAATTGATATCTAAAACACCTTTATCTTTTAAAACCATATCAAAAAGCATGTCTTCAATTGAAGAAGGGTATCCAGGAGGTGAACCAAAGCAGAGCTTTGGCCCTGGTCCGGGGTCCGGGGACATCAGCATAGGAGAAGCTAAGAGTTTACTAAGGGAGGGAATTTTAATGAATTAGATCTATAAGAAGTAAGAACTCGTAAGGGCTAGCTTTTGAGTTTTGCCTACAAAATGAATAGTTTAGCATTCATATTTTGAGCGCATTTTATTTTGATAGTTTGATGGCGAAATTTATTTTTGTTTTTTAATTTCCGGGATTTGAGTATGTGGGAAGTCAATTATCAAAAGAATAGTTCGATGACTCAAAGTTGACGCATATACGTGAAGTAAATTATATAAAAAGAAATACACAAAAGAAATGTCTCTAACCCAAGAACTTTTCATGAATCTTCTTTAAACTCTAATAAAATTAGATATTTACTTTCAAGTCCAGAATTTGCTTTTCATATGCTCAACATCGAACTCTGTCTATGTTTAATGGTGGAAGAATCCTTTCCCCTCCACAACAATTCATTCTAGGTTCGGTACCGGGGAGCCCTTGCTTTGACATTTGTTTGACTTCAGAATCGGAATTCTCAACAGTGCCTGTTGATATGGAAACACACTGGAAACTTAAACTCAGCCCCTTCCACAACACTTTCTCTAGAACGGGAAGCTGCAACCCGTTAGTTGTAAGAATGACAAAGTTTGCCAATAACTGTGATTATAGTAACATTTTCTCTGGAATTTCTGCATGTAGAAGAATAGAATAGCTCATGACTTAGCGCCATTGTCTAAAAATAGCAGTGATGATTGTATTAATAAGTTGTAGTTCCCTGATGGCTTTTGTTGATCGCAGCTAGATGATTACTCCATACCAGAAAAGTAATATACATTATAATTTGTGATTCGTATTCTTTTTAGTAAAAATTACAAAGTTATAATGTTAACTATTTTTTTGAGATAGAGGAAGTAGTCGTATTTACGAGTGAAGTCTTCATTTACCCTAAAAAATAGGGGAAAAAGACTAAAATTTCTTAGCTCATCACATCATTTTTGTTTCAGCTAGTACAGAACTGTCAAAAGGCCCACAATAAGAAGGACGAAAACAACAAACATTTTCATGCGCATTCATATTCATCAGCAACAAAAACCACCTGCTTCCCAACCTTCTTACCACAGAAGGCCCCTATTAATGCAGCTGCAGCATTTTCAAGGCCTTCAACTATGTTTTCCGCATAAGTGATTTTGCCTTCTTTTATCAGTGGGAGAACCATTTCGAGGAATTTCGGATAGAGGTGATAGTAATCCAACACAAGAAATCCTTCCATTCGCACGCGTTTTGCAATGAGGCAGAACAGATTCTTAAAGCCCTCATGCTGTTCAAGATTGTATTGTGAGGTTAAACCACAAACAGCAATGCGACCGTGAACTCTCATGTTGAGAAGCGCGGCATCAAGCATCTTGCCTCCAACATTCTCATAGTAAATGTCGATTCCATTTATTTCCATCAGGGAAATACCTGCAAAGAAAATAGTAGAAGATGCAATTCTGTTCCAAATTGTTGAGATATGACGGTGATGATGATGAATGATAAAATTGTCGATCTCATCTATTATTGGCAGCATAGCCTCAGAGGAAACAACAAGATCTCAGAACTTACTTTTTCAAAGCCACAGCAAGATCGGGTTCTTCTTTGTAATTGAAAGCTTCATCAAACCCGAATTTGCTCTTCAACAACTCAACCTTAAAGGGCAATGAAGTGAGAATTAGAAAGTAAGAAAGTTAGTGCCCTTACATTTTAAGTAGTACTGCAATCCAAGAAATCAGGAGAGATCCATCTATTCAGAATTATATCTTCTTCTTGCAGTTTGGTTTTTTATATAAGACTAGTAACTCTGCTTTCAAATAATACTCTAACTAACTGAAATAAAGTTCACCAGAATCTTAATGCTACATTTATGGCAAACCTTTTCTTCGGTTCCAGCACTTCCAACAACGTAACAGCCAAGTAACTTGGCAAACTGTCCAACAAGTTGGCCAACAGCTCCAGAAGCGGCCGAAATGTATACATGTTCTCCCTTCTTCGGAGAGCAAACTTCAAAAAATCCAGCATACGCCGTCAATCCGGGCATTCCTGAAAGCAATATAAAAACAGAATAGAGATGCAAAGATGCAACATCGAACGGATGCTCCCATGAATAACTAGTATTGACATTAACAAAAGGATCGATGCTCCCTTGTTGGTTGTAAAGGTAAAACCATTTTGATTTTTCTTAGCTTATATAATTTAAACTGAAGTGGTATGCAGTGAATACAACTTGTATATGCGATACACAACTTCAGTTCTATTTTTATTAGCTTACATATTTGGTTGTTGTAAGCATTTTGATTTTTTCTTTTAAATAATTAATTTGCAGTCAAGGCTACAATCAGGAGTGCAACAAATCAAACAAAGCAAAGGTGGCTGAGGGTTTATCTTTTTGCAGAAGGCTGACAACCTAAAATTGGAAGAAGGACAAGATTTTGATTCCCATCCGTGGAAAGTTGGTTAATTCATTTTCATTTGAAATGCAAAATAAGTGCAATTACCTTAACAAGGAAAAGAAAGTTATCCTTTTTCCAACTGCAAAAAATCCTTCCTCTGGTATGAAGAAGCTTACCAAGAATTCCATTCTAGTAAGAAAGAGGCACATCTGTATGTTCAATTCTGAAGCAAGTCTCTGGAGCGGTGATGATGCTGAATTCTTCCCATCCTGTCACTCCCCACAAAAGATCACCTGGTTTGAACTTTGGATTACAAGAATCCAATACTTTAGCAACTCCAAATCCCCCTAAAGGCTAAAGAAAATAACGCAATGAATCACGGAAATTGGTTAGAATGAAGAAACTAAAAGTCTCCTCTTCAAAAAAGAAGAAACTAAAAGTCGCAACAATGTAATACAGATTCCAAAACTCAAGGTGAGCTATTTTTTTGCTCAGAGGCAGTGTCATTTGGACCACCGGTGCTTATATATATAGTTTTACATTATTGGTTTCATAGTATTACAGTATATCATCTTAGGTCTACTATACAATCCTATGATCATTAAATGCCATATCAATGGCTTCATGGAAGCTTAGGCAAATCATGAGAATGAAGTCCATATCAGCTTTCCCAGAAACCATTCGAAAAGTCCTATTACCCCCGTCCCGAAAAAAAAGTCCACATTGAATTTTCAAATTTGTACTAAAAACAGTACAATACTCAAAACTCAATGTGGACTATTTTTGTGGGACGGAGGGAGTATTTTTTCCCAGAAACAAAAAGATCAAAACTTTTCAGTGCTGAAGTATCTTAAGCAGAAGATCCTTTAACAGAGGAGAAACGTATCCCTTGAAAACGACAATTTCAAAGTAATCACATCGGTAAACAATTTTAAAATAATGCTGTTTTTACCGCTCAATTCTGAATTTTCGGTTATTTAAACGCTGTTATTTCTCATCATATACCATGCATACTAGTATGTTCCTTAAATTACTTCTGTCTTTTGGCTTCAGAGTTCAAAAACAGTGATCCAATGTGTCCACAGCATCAAGTAATAAATAAATAAAATCAAATCTTATATTTTCCAACACTCCCAATGATCAATTAAGCAGTTCAAGTTCATGGCTCTACAAAAAAAAAAAAAAAAAAACAAACTTGCACATAATCATCACCTAACTTAAGAGGTAAGGATTGGCTAGTTTCGAAATCAACTAGTATTAAAAATTGAATGGAATTGGATAAAATTTTGCATAAATTTTTTGGGGAAAAGAGAAGAAACAGAACTTACAGAACCAGGAGTGAAGGCATCAGTGTAATGTCCTTCAATCTTGCTCATTCGAGTCCTAATGTAAGGATCTCATGACAGGTAAAGATTTTTAACCAAAATAGCCCCTGAGGAACATCCATCCGGGAGCTTTAATCGGATTTTGGTTGCCTTCAATTTCATATCACTTTCTTCCGGGAACCCTTTAACATAATTTTTCAAAATCACTTGCTTGTTTTCTACTTCCTCCCCCATTTGATGATTTGATTTTCCTCCTCTGTTCTTCTCCCTTGTACTTCACCAGCTCTGTATTTTTGCGGGATTTGAATGGTTTTCTTATTTCTTTACTATCTTTGAATTAAAGTGCGATGTGTTGTGAATTGAGAGAGGGAAAGATTGCATTTTTAATTGTTTCATATGTTTGTGAGTCAAACATTGTGTATATCTGTGATTACATTTTGATTTTTTTTTTTTTAAATGCATCTCTAATGTGGATCTATTCAGTTTATGCCAACGTTGATAATCAGGACATCATCATGCCAGCGTTGAAAAGGACTTTCTTGTTAGAATTACTGTCTCATGTTCCATGACAAAATTAACAAATTCTTGCTCCTTCTTGAAAAGAAAGAAAATTCTACCTTTGACGTGCAAAATGATAGTGGTATGACACACACGATATATGATGCACACAGCATAACATATTTTAAATTTTTAATACAGGTTTTACATGAAATCCATTCCCATGAAATCTTATTAGTCTATCGTTAAAAAAGCAGTAAGTATGGGACTGTTCAGGTGAACCATGAATACAACCGATTGTTTTGATTCACCTTATTAGTCTATCGTTTGAATAAGATGTTATCAGTATTTTACCCTCGGCCTCTTTGTACCAAAATAGACAATACAGTATAATAATAAATTTTTGCGGTAAGAAATAATGCGCTTTAGATATTAATTAGATTTATTAAACCTATTTGTACCGAAATTTCTTAAATTAAAGTTATTTCTTTACTTTGTGATTTTTCCTCTCAATGATTTTGGTTTTTGTTGGGGAGTCTCATGTGGTCTAACCTCCAACTAATGATAATGGAAAAATGGCGCATTCTATTCTGGAGGTCCAATTGCTCTATTATCAATTTGTACGAAAAATTAAGAATGAAATAAGACAATTATTTAAAGACAGAAGAAATTATAATTCATACAAATTATGTTGCGATCACCGGATCTTGTTCACATATTTTTTTTCCCGTTAAAATTTTGATTATACAAAGTGCAAACTGAAGGAAAAGGAAGTTGTTCCTCAAAATTTCGTTCTTATTCTTACCATGTCACGTCTGTGCATCCCACTTTGGAACCTAGAAGTTATAACTAATAAACTCCAAATTTCTGTTACAAGTAATACATCAATTAAATACCTATTTTACTGTTGTACCCTTGAACAGAAATGAAATTGACAGTAAAATTGACATCCTTCGGCTAGCAGGAAACGGATCATTCATTTTTTTTTACCCAATTACCAGAAGGATTAAAATTAACTCCGCGCAATCTCTCTTCCTATATAAAACCATCAGTCGATAAAAAATTTGCCACGTCAAATCCTGAATTCCTTACTAACCCTAACATCAATTGTTTCTTCCTTCTTGGTTATTGATTAGTTTGTTACAAGAATCGAAAAATGGGGGCAAGACATGATCTCAGAATGCCAATGATACTCCCCAGAGGGTTTCGATTTTCGCCTACGGATTGGGAGCTGATAAAATACCTAGAATGCAAAGTTATGGGCGAACCTTTGCCTTGTGATCATGCCATATGGGATGACATTGACATATATGATCCTAAATATCATCCAGAAACCCTAGTCAAACGTTATGGCGACGACGAAAACGTCGTTTACGTTTTCACTAAGTTGAAGAAGGTGGCACCAAAAGGGAAAAACGTTGGGAGAAGGGTTGGAGGATGTACATGGAGAGCCAACAACGCCGGGGAAGAAGTTAAAGTGGCAGGCAAAGCAGAAGAGGGATGGGCTAAAACATTTAGTTTCGAAAACGAGAAGAAGAAAAGGATTGGATACATTATGAAACAGTATACTTTGCATGATTCTATTCTCAAGAACGCAAGAGGAGATGTACGTGACCTTGAACTTAATCTTCTTGTGTTTCTTGAATTTCCCTTTGTGTGTGTGTGTGCGTGCGTGTTTCTTCTCTGTTTGTGCGTGTCTTCCCGTGCGTATGTGCGTGTTTCTTTCTTGACTATATCTTGGATTAAGATTATGTTTACTTTACTTAGTTTTAAATAGAATTCTTTCCTTATCATAACAATTATCCACATTACAATTTATGGATTACAGTGTACTCTAATTCACAAATTATGACTTGGACTATTTATATGATGCAGAGGTTGACTAAGTTTCTGGGGTGGAACAAGTAATTTTTTTTCTTTTTTTAAGTAGACAAAATTATTTAAATATAACAAATATCCACATGTATATGTAATGTTTATTGTTTATAAAGCACAAATTAAATCCAACCTTAATCATATTTGTGCCTTATAAACAACGAGGACACCACCATAGGGATTAATGTATTGTTGTCCGATTTTCATAATAATGCCACTTTTTGTTTAGTTTTTGTTCTCCATTATGTATGGCAATTATTTCATTATTCTTATGAATTATGTTTATTTTTTTTTGTTGTTAAAGTTCGGATGAGACTTCTAGCTAGTCATTTCGGTGGATAACTAGTTAATCTTCTCCATACATATGTTTTTTTTTTCTTGGGTTTTTTTGGTTAGTAAGTTTATTGTGTTCCTGTCCATGTAGATGAAGGACTATGCTTTGTGTCGAATCTACAAGAAATCCAATTCCAAGGAGGATGAAGCAAACCTCGAGGATGACAATTCCCAAGATGATCAAGAAGAAGGTGTGGATGCAAATTGTGATCACCACAACCAGGTTCCCCATGATCCAGAACATGACATTCAAGTAAAAGAAAAAACCCTAGAATCGGTCCCTCGGTTAATCTCTTTTGAAACATCATGGAATCATCAATCTACAGTCAATAATCTTCATGCAGCATTACAACGTGGAGATGAGATACAGAATGATTTCAGTAATCCGGCTTCTAATGCCCTTAAACTTGACGGAATCGCCATCCACAATACGGAACAACAACAACAACTGTTTGATCATCTGACTGATGAGGAATTGGATTCAGTGATGAATTTCTTGGAGCAGAATAATGATGATGATCATCGTCATGATATATTGTCTTCACAACAAGATCTATTCCCTCCTAATGATTTTGATCATCAGGCATTGGCAGCACAAGGATTTTCCGACTTCTCGTATCCACCTCAAAATCAATTGTCTCAACTTCCTCCCCTCCGGATCGAGTTTCAACGAGACTCGAATCGTGCGATGCTCGAAGCCTCAAACATAAGTGCATTACAAGATCACCATGATCAATATGTTATGGGGTGTAGCTTTTGCAATCAGGTGGAAATGGGGAGCCAGAATGCAATAATGAGCCCATCCTACAGTGCCACATTAATGCGTCTTGATGAGCCGAAGCCAGTCTATCAAGATTTAGGGACATTGTTGGGTATGACAGAGAATTTTACACACTCCCAATTTCTTGGAACTATCAATAAAGAAGAAATGAGTGTTACTCGAGAGGATTGCTCAGAATTCGGTTGGGAGATTGCGAAAAGGTTGAGAAGTTCCAAGAGAGACAAAATCAGCATCCACTAATTGATACTAACAATCTGGGCTTGGAAACATTAGGGGATTTCCTAATAATGCCTAATTAATCATGTAATCACTCTGTCTTTGGAAAATAATTAACATTGTAAATTGCATACGGTTTAGATTAATTTTGTGGGACGGAGGAGTTAGTCTTTTTGTAGCTAAAGTCTCAAGAGCCAAAGGTTCACTTATGGGTTCATTTCAGTTTTCAAATTATTGGCTACATTCTTCTTATATTAAATACTCCCTCCGTCCCATAATTATTGTCCAGTTTTACTAAAATGAAAGAGTTTATTTTTGGTCAAACTTAACTATATTTTACCTTAAACAACCGGATATACCCCTACATAAGTAACAGTTTAACCACTAAGATTTTATGGATAATGTTTTTTACTAAGGACAAATGTGTAACTTGATCCATAAAAAGTCAAATTGGACAATAATTTTGGGATAAAATTTTTTGGGCAAAGTGGACAATAATTATGGGACGGAGGGAGTATGATTATAATTTTTATTGATTGGGAAAAAAATGGGTATAAATTGATATTAGCAACCATTCTTGCCGGTTCTCAGCTGAAATTTTCTCCAGCAAAAGTCATATTGAAATCGGCAAAATGTAACTTAGCCCTAAACACAATCGTAATAGGAAAACTCCAAAATAGTCAAATAAACTACCAAAACATAAATAATGAAAACTTTAAGAACCCTAACTCACACCAAAACTCCACCTTACTTGATCAGGCCTGCCGCTTGGAGTCTTTTAAAGGTGTCAATTTCAAGCCGAACGGAGCTACCAACCCGGTCATTAATTTGATCCGAAATCGTAAATGCGGTTTGTGGTTTTATTAGGAGTTTGGCTTCCGTATCAGTCGCAAGGTTTATTAGGAACCGTCTAAATGTTTACCAAGGTTATTTAATTAATTGAGGGACAATGAAATTAGTTATGACCTAATTATAAATTGAAACGAAACCAAATTGGTCTCCTAACCGTGTCAGGAGACTAACCTCCAAGTTTCTTGTTACTTGTATTTATTTTACAGTTTTACCCTTCAATTAAATCAAGGATGGATATAAAAAGTTTTATACCCGACAGCTTGGAGGAAGTGGATTCTTCATTTTCTAACCCGATTACTAAAAGGATTTTTAAGCTTAACATCCACCCAATTTCTTTCTTTATATAAAACATCCGTACATAAAATTTTCCCAGCTCAAACCCTAATTAATTATTCGCTTACAAACCACACATTGTTTTCTCTTCTTTATGGTTAGTTATCTTGTTGCAAGAATCATAAAAAATAGGGTCATTGTATGATCCCAGAATGCCCGTGACAATTCCCAGAGGGTTTCGATTTTCGCCTACGGATCAGGAGCTGCTAAAATACTTAGAATGCAAAGTTATGGGCACACCTTTGCCTTATGATCATGTCATATCGGATGACATTGATGTCTATAGCCCTGAAAGTCTTCCAGAAGCGTTAATTAATCGTTATGGAAACGAAGAGAAGGTGGTTTATGTTTTCACGAGGTTGAAGAAAGTAACAATGAAAGGGACAAACTTTGACCGGAAAGTTGGGGAATGTACATGGAAACCCAATGGAAGGGCCAAACCAATTAAGGACGGAGAACCAGAAAAAGTGGTGGGGAAGTTTAAAACTTTAAGCTTCGTAAAGGAGGGGGTGAAGTCTGGATACATTATGAAAGAGTTCACTTTGAATGGAAGTGAAGAAGTAAGTGCCCTAACCTGAACTTTTCTCGAGTTTCCTCTTTTTTTTTTCCCCCTGGTTTCTGTGTCTGAGTTTCCGCATGATTTTTCTTTCTTTTAATTATCTTTTCGAAGGGTGTTCATGGTGATAATATTAAGTGCGCTCGAGCATGTATTTTTTCTTTCTTTCATTATCCTTTCTTAGGGGTGTTCCCCATGATAATACTAAGTAATCGTTGTGTTTTTATCCGTATCTTGTGTGCTTTTCTTTCTTCACTCGACTTGAGTTATTTCTCTTACTTGCCCTGTGTCAAAATTATTGTCCTACTTAAATTGTTATATTTAATTCAATTTATATTAAAACTAAAATTTTAAACTAGACATTAATTTCGGGATGGAGGCTATTTTATTATATTACAATAAGTAGAAAGACATTGTTCTTTTTCCATATGCTTGGTTTCCACCATCTAAGTAACTCAGCTCATATCTTAAGAAACTTCACGTTTTCTTTTTCTTTTCGTTTCGTTTCGGGTGATACTTATTGATAAATTTCCGTTATTTGGTTTATACAGTATGCTTTATGCCAAATCTACAAGAAACCCGAGAAGGAGAAAGCGAATTTACCGAAAGACAAAGTTGCAAAACAAGAAGAAGTAGATGCGAAGTCCGATGACCAGAATCAGCTCCCATATTATCCTGGATATGTTCATCAAGTGCAAAATGAAGCCATTGATACGGTCCCTCCATTTATTTCTTCTGAAACATCACTTGATCATCACCATCAGCAGCAGCATCCTTGGGTTCATGATCTTGATTCAGCATCAGCGTATGGAGATCCGATGCAGCAAGAATTACTTGGCGAATCGATGATCCATAATATGCAAGAACAACAACTACAACAACAACAAGATAATAGGCCCTATGATGCAAACATGGATTTGTTCTTGACTTTGTTGAACGAGAATCATCATCATGGTATGCCGTCTTTACAGCAATCGCCGGAATTGGATCGGTTTCCCCTTGATTTGACGGATTATCAGCCATGGTCAACACCAAGGTCGTCCTATTTCCCTTATTCAATTCAACATCAAATGGCTGAAGTTACAGAATCCGCACCAGGTACACAACAAACCAAAGTTGATCAGCTTCAAGAGTATCCGAATCACGCGATGATCCAAATGATTCAAGCCTCGAACATGAGCGCATTATTACACGATCATCAAGAGCAATATATGTTGGCTAACGCTTGCTATGATCAAGCAGGAATGGAGAGCATGAACGCGATGATGATGAACCCCTCCTACGCTGCCACATTAATGCGTGTTGATGATAAGCCGAAACCCGAAAATCATGTTACCGTGAACTTGGCTGAGATTGATGACCCGATTATGACGACAAAGGAAAGTTGCGCAAGCTTCATTGAAACTACCAATGAAGGAGAAATGGGTGGCAATAGACAAGTTGATTGCTCAGATTTTGGAATGAATTTAGCAACAATATTAAGAGGTTCCATGGAAGAATACTATCCTTTACCGGAACAGGATCCAATGGTAGATAACAACTATGGCTTGGATAGATTAAAGGATTTCGTGATGCCTAATCATCCGTATCTTTGGTAGCAGAAGCAATTGGTGGGTTTCAAATTAGGTTAATCAAAGAACAGTAAGGAAATCTTGGTTTCTACTTTCGAAGTCTTTGTGTGCCACATTTTTTCTTTTTCTACTGAGTTGTAATGTATCTTTGCTCCTTTATACTACTCTACTCATTTCGTAAGTAGATGCTTTGTTCTTAATATTTATATTAGTTTTACAAATAAGAGAATCCATTACATATGAGCATGAGGTTTAAGATTTTTTAAAAATAACAAAGAATTGCACGGGTCAATATTCCAGTGATGAGTGTTTATGGTATTTGTTTTCACTCCATTTTACTTGTCCAAAAAATGCTCGAATTACCAACAAGCACTTGTTCTAAGTAGTAAAAGTGTTGGTCTTGTTAAGGCAGTTTAACCATGAACAAAAATTAAGTAGGCAATACTGATTAAAATATTCATTGGGAGAGTTTTAACAAAATTTAGTCGGAGCAGTGATTTGACACCGAGTGGATAATACATCAAACAAAATTTTTTAAAAGAATGTTTAAATTTGTTATGGAAATTATTAAGCGTATTGAAACCATAGCCAGTTTCGCACGTCACACGGCTAAAACCTTACTAAATCTACTATTTGTAGTACTAATTTATTTGGTCATGGTCCACACATGATGGTTGAAACCATAGCAACTTTCTTATTCCATACCTCTATATATAGCTAATAGAGTTTATCTACATAATTAAAACATATATTTAACCCTGATTATGACGATTTATTTCAGCAAATTCTAACGCATTCTTCCCTTCATGAGCTTGTGAGAAAAAGTTTTTCATGTAGTTTTCGTATAAGACTTCTCTATATAGAGCTCCTCCGTCGTGCTTCACCAGCTGAGGCAGTGGACCAATCTTTTGGGATGGTCGCGGGGCTACAAAATGTGGAATTGACACCCTTGCTTTCTCATTTGTGGTGCGTACTTTGTGCTCTGGACTTTTGTATCTCCCGTTGCTAAGAATCTGATTCAAAATTTCATATCAAACAAAATGTAAATCAAGATTTTACCTGAATAGTAAAAAGATAAACTGACACTGAACTGCTTGTTTATACTTGGGACATTAACTTGGTACTGATTAAATTTATATCCACTTAGCCCGTTGACTATATATGATACAAAAAACAATAGTACTCCTACAATTCAATAAAATTAACATTTTTTCCCGGTTGGCGACCGAGAGAGAACTTTCCAAAAGTATTTATGTCATCGTTAAACAAAATTATTTATATTATGGACGAACTATATTTTACCCCTTGAGTTTTGGCTCTATATACCATAAACCCTTCGAGTTTTATTAATACTATAATATACTCCCTTGACTCATATTCAAACTACTAAATACCTTTTTAACATACAAACATCATCATGAAGTTTTTCATAAACGGCAATAATACCCTTCAATTCATATTTTTTAAATTATACTATAATTTTTTAAAATATATATGTATATCATAAATTAAGTTAAACTCCATGTTAATCATTTTATATTAATACAGTTAGAGAATTATATTTTTTTTAAAATTAATTATGTAAAGTGTTTTGAAACAAAATTTTTCATTAATTATTATTTTTTTGAAATATAATAAACTTGCAGTATTAATCATGGATTAAATTTCATTGAATAACTTATGTTATAATTAAATGTTAAAATTATAAATTAAGTAATTTTCATTTTTCATGATAAAAAATAGATACAAGTGAAAAAAAAAAGAAATAAAGTGTGTAAACAATTGTTATTTTAATCATTTAATGTTTAACCCCCTGTCCAGGGGTATATGGTAGTATTATAAAAAATTAGGGGGTTTGTGGTAGATCTAGTCAAAACTTGGAGGCAAAATGTAGTTCGCCCTTATATTATACTAGCTACTTAGTCAACATGTAAGAAGTCATTCAAATACATGCCAGGATGTTGCTTCATCAAGAACTTTGAATATGACATTTTTCTGTCTTTAATGTAGGGATTCTCTTTTGTTTCTTTCTCCTCTCCTTTATTTGACCCAAAAGGTACTTAGTTACAGAAAAGAATAAGAAAGAAAATTCGAAGATCGACGACATATGGTGGTTTAAATTAAAGTATACGATTCACAATATTTGTGGAAACAAATTACACACATCTTTAATAGTAACTAATGTATTATTACTTCATCGGCATATAGTCAGTATATTGATTATTTTGTATTATATCTTAGTCAACTTCTATTAGATAGATTATTACATTATATTCCTTATATCTCAGAAAAATAGTCCAGAGTGATTTTTGAAATTTGACTAAAAACAGTACAAATCACAAAATTCGATGTGAACTATTTTTTAGAACAAAGACGTAATATTATAATAACATTACTACGAAAAATCAAAATGTATTTTTTGTTACTTTTTAATTGTCACTCTTTAATAAAACAGTGGAATGATTAATATATCCGAAATACTAACCTGCAGCGAATCGCCAACATTAATGACCAAAGCACCATGAATTGGAGGGATCTCAATCCACTCTTCTCTATTATGTTCTTCACTTGTGTTATTTTCATGCAGCACTTTAGCATACAAACCTCCAATCTCATCTTGCCGAAGAACTGTTAAAATGCCGATATCGGAATGGCGTTTGACACCAACTGTTACTTGTGGATTTGGACAAGCAGGGTAATAGTTCATGGCTACTACGTTAAAACCTATTAACGATTCCATCTTCGAGTCTTCGAGTGTCACTCCCAGATTTTCCATAAGTATATCGAACAATCGCCTCACCATTTTATATGAAGACTTTACATAGTCAATCATCTCTTTCCTGCAAATTTGGAGTTGTGTAAAAGTTAGTCAAAATTACAGATCATACACACCAAAATTTGCTTCCACCATTTTATGAAACCATAATATTTTGGAACTGTTAGAATGGGATGAAGAGACGATCTCCATAGCTGAAAACTTCTTCTAAATCCCCTTTAGATTTTCAAAGCTCAAATTTACTCTTCAGAAAACTTACTATTTTTCTAAAGGTTTTCGTATCAAAGAAGAAAAAATATTTGGGCTACTATAGATAAATGTTCCTTGCCATTCTTATAGAAACCGTATGACCCAAATGTGTATTGGATTTTTACTCCAAGAATAATTTATACTAAAACTGAAATTTATAGTTGACAATTATTTTCGGACGGAATGAGTGTTAGATTCATAGAATTAACTTACTTGCACACTTGGGGCCAATATTTTTCAGCATCAGAATCGTTGGTGTACGTCATAGTAACAAAATCTCTCCATTCAAGACGCTTTTCTTTCTCAGGAGCGAAACTAGTTGAATACTTCACCAACGGAGTTGGACTAACTCCCTTCAGATAAGCAGCCTTTGCTTCGGCCGGTTGCTCGAAAAACCGATGCACCACCCCCGGTAAGGTGTTCAAAAGATCCAAATCTACGCCATGGTTGATAACCTGAAAGAACCCGAGTGTCTCAGCAGCGCTAACGATCGCGTCGACCACTTTGCCATGCTCAGGACCATCAAGTTTTGATAAATCAATTGGAACTGATGCATGATGATTATAGCTGAAACTTGATGACGATGTGGATGGATTGATTTGCTTTATAACTCGTTCATACTGTGGTTGGATGTAAAGTTTGGGTACTTCTACTATCCCTTTATCTACTAAACCCTTAACACCATTGCCTTTTCTTGCAACAAAATCAAAGAGGGAATTTGGATCATCTAAAACACCTGCCATTTTTTTTTCCCTGTTTGGCTATATTAATTTGACTGTTTTTGTTCCTTGGAATACTCTTAATGTGATTATTACCCTTTATATAGTTAAGTTCTGCATGCTTCTTGATCATCAATGTCTTTCTGCATGCGTGACACGTAATTTCACTGTGAACATCAAATTGGAACCTAAATATATCGTGACTTAAACGTCTCAATTAGACTTTTGAAAAGAGGCAATAATTAATGTAAACTGGTTGGGGGTGTTTTGATTGAACTTTTCTTCGAAAATACATAAACTAATAGAAACTAGTCGGACAGATACTACATTCAAACTATTCCATAATTGACCAGAAACTCCTTTGGAGAAAAAGATTATCAAACTGTTTTTCGTCATGTATTACATTAATTAACCCATTTCTTATAAATGCAAATCTTCATATCTGACTACCCAATTAGTTCGTAGCGTTTGCTTCGCCAATGCTCTTTTCCCTTCTCATAAGAAATGGTTGGCAATGTTTTAGCATAAAACTACTAGGAAAGTCGAAGGCAGAATAATTGATTTTCTATGGAAAAAAATGGTTACGTATTAATAAATGAGATATCTACAGAAAGAGACAAGTCGATTGCGTAGAACTTGTTAAAATCTTGCATCAAATTCAAGCTGTATAGGATGAGAATCTATCTTATTGATGTGGTCATTGTTTTCACAAGTAGAACTTAACTTCAATATTCTAAGAGTTCAATCAATTAGGTCTGTATCTAGGTTGTTTGCAAATCTGCTCATTTCCCACAACTTTGACACATTTAAGTCTTTTGGATTGAGCGTTTGAATTTCGTCTTGATTGACGATTTGCTCGCCCTTGTCAATTCAAGGGTGCCCATTTGTCGAACTTGTCAAGTCAACTCAGCTAATCGTAGGTAATGGACAAGCTACCTGACTTTGTAAGGTTGAAAATAACTTTGGTTGCGTTGGTTGGGGAGTTGGGGGTGGAAGGCGATATAAGTTTGTTTCTCCTATATAATGATCAGTATTGGAAGGCCTATTTCCAAAACAAAAAATATAGGATTCGAAGAAATATTTTATTTCCTTTACCCGTTTCAAATGAAATTTCTTTCACATGATATTTCTTACTCCCTCTATCGGGAAATGAATATTGTGTTGTTTTGCTAATTTTCGAATAAGAAATAAGATAGAGTAACCATGTTTCACATACAAGGGTGATTTTGGCTAAACAAAAATAAATTGCTCTTGATTAGGACTGTTCTTTTACATAAAACCGA